GATAAATAGATCAATAGATAGATGATAGATGAAAGAAAGAGAGATGATAGATCGATCGATCAATCGATAGAGATAGATAGATAGATAGATAGATAGATAGATGATAAATAGATTGATAGATGATAGATAGATGACAAATAGATAAGTGGTAAATAGATGATAGATAGATGGAATTCCATGTATCTGTCTACTTAATTACTGCTCGATGGTGTACTACAAGTGTCCTGCTCCCTTGCCTTAATTTAGCACATCTTAAAAGATGCTTCCTCTTGAATCAGTCGATATCACTGATGAAATGACATAGAAGCTCAGTTGTCCTGTTTGATTTTTCTTCCTGTGTCGCTAATCTACTTAGTGTCAATTTTGTGACTACCTCCCAGCACCAGGACTGGTCCAAGCATACAGACTCAAAATACAATTTTCGAGTCAGCTTGTTAACCATCAGTTGTTAATAAAGACCCCATTCAGGTTGCTTCAGAAGAATGTACAGTCATGACTTGCAGCAGTACTATAGCTGTGGACATTTCATTGGTAGTAAAAACTCAAATGCTGTGCTGAAGCAGGTGTCACTGAAACAGACAGTAAGCCTTCTTCCTGGCATATATGCCTTCCAGTAATTCCTTCCCAAGCTGAGTCAGTGCTCTAAATACTTAACAAAACACTGTCAAAGAACACCGAGTTACTTCTGAGGCTATATTATTGACACACTGAAATTCCCACCTTGGAATTTTTGGTTACTTTGTCTTCCAGAAGCCTTCTACCATATCAAGAGGGTGGTTAAGCAGATCTTAAAACAAGATTGTGCATTCTAACTCAACATACAGCAAACTTTTGAAATATTTCTTCATTGGTCAAACTTCGTAAGAGTGCAGTTCTGGAGGACACATGACCAGCCACTGACATGCTGAGGCAGAAACTCAGGAAGTTATGGGAGATAACAGATGTTTGTTAACATTTTTAAAGACGCTAAAATTAGAAGGTGACTTGTTACAGAGTATGAGATTAACAATACAAGTATTGATGGAAAGCACTATTGTGTGTATGCCAAATACTGCAGAAAGACTATTAGGGCTACCATATTGATTTCTTGGTGTGATACACACAACTACAACCTTAGCACTTAGGAGACTGAGACAAGAGGATCAAACTTTAAATATGGCCTTGGACTATATAGTAAGTTAAAAAGCAGCTGGATTTATCTACTGAGACATTCTATAAAACAAACAAACACAAATATTATCAAAATTTATGGTCAAAGGTTAGGCATTAGATGGTTTAAAAGGAAGAAAGGCTTTTTATAATTATTTACCATTTGAAGGGTAAGTGTGAAAAATAAGTTAGCCACTTTGACAACTATAAAAGACTCAGAGCTTCTATAGCCTGAGGCCAGAGGGAGTTATGGCCCAATCCCTGAAGCTGACATGAGACTCAAACCTTTAAAAGCAAGTGTCACCATGGCAGCTGTGCTACACCAGGGCTTCTGCTTGGCCTGAGAAGAGCAGATCCGATGCATCGAAACACCATGAATCTCCCTATCATTTCCTGAGCTCTGGATCTTTACAGCTAACTTTTCCCCTGTTCAAAGTCAACATCACTCTTTGTCTGAATGTGATGTGGAAGTAAAGAAACATCCTTCCTCACTGTCTAAATAATATCTTCCAAGCCAGTAACTGAATTAAGTCTCCACACAACCCAGTCTTGGAAGGGCAAGAATCTGCTAAGGAAGAAAGTGGTCTACATTCCAAAGTAATGGTGGGGCCTCTAATTCTGAACCAATAGACACCAAAATCATGTACACAAGACTTGGATCCTGAGTTTGCTGAATCAGAGAGGCTGGACTACAAAGTTGAAAGGAAACAATTAATAAAAGAGAAGCATTGCACAGGATTTAATTATCTATCCAACAAAGAACCTTAGAGGACAGAATTATCACATTTTAAGATAGCCTTTGGACATTTCCTAGAAGCATGGTCCAAGAAAAATGAAGTAGATTCACCTGGATATTCTGAAAGGAGAGAAAAATAATTTGTTTAAGGTCCTAAAAGAAAGGGGCACACTAATCATGCATACATTTTGGAAGACTGGAAGGTTCATAGGCACTTCTGTAGGGAGTCCAAAAGACAGTTTCTCAAGACAATAATTATGCCTGTCAGAAGAGTCAGGATCACTGAGGAGCTCAGAGGTGTCTGTGCAGAGGCAAGGTCGCATGATAGAGATGTTCCGCAGACTTCTAATTGACGATAGTGATTGGAGACAGAAAGTGAAACAACAGAAGAAAGGTGGGAACAATTGTTGCAAAACACTGACTTGTAGGGGTCACAGCTGAGGAGATTTTTAGTTATTTTGGTATGTTCCTTTTTTAGCTTTTTCCAAGTGGATGCTCAAAGTCCTGGTTTGAAAATCAAGTAAGGAAAGCACTATACAGTATGACTGCATACTGTTATAAATGCAACCAGGAAATCACCTCAAATGTAACAGTAAAACCAGTGATGGTGTTTTTGTTAGAGCTGATTAATAAAGGCTTATATGTATTATGTATGGTCCTTGATCTGGTAATTGCATTCTTTTGTAATTTTACTAAAAGTTAAGATCAGGCATAGTCCACATTCTTTTCAATTGGATAAGAATATGTGTGTATAATCTTGTCTTCATGTCTATGTTAACTTCCCTCTCCCCATCACATTGCAGTACAAAGGGTTTGAACCACATTGACAACCCTCACACTCTTCAGAAATTGTCTGGCCCCTATATTGATGAGAACATTGTAGTTAGACTGAGTGACTAAGAAGTGATAAGAGTGCTGGAAATTTTAGTAACACACACATACATATTCTTGAGGTTTGGAGACAGATCTAACAAAAGTCAAGAAATGTCCGTACCATTCAAAATCCTTGGATGTAGTGTTCTGGCTGTGTGAGAATTTCCCATTCAACATGAAGTAAGAATCACTTCATTGCACACCTCCCATCACAGAGAAGGAATCAACAGGTTTCTAATAGGCTCTCTGGATTGTGAGGAGAGCATATTCTGTAAGTAGAAGTGAAGTTCTCTGCTTACTAGGCCACACAGAAGCAGATACCACTGTAACTGTGTGAGAATACCTGTGAAGCTCCACAACTACAGGGACCTATGGGAGGCACTAATGGAAATATCAGAGAATGGGTCATTAGGGTTCTAAAGCAAAGTTGGATCATTTGAAAATGAGAATTACAGAACTCTTGGACACTAGCTTCTGGGTTGCCCAGTTGAGACTATGGTCAATATCAAGAACCTGATGCTATCAAGTATCTGTATAACTACAACTGCCTACTATGAACTACATCATTCTAGGCACACGTCATACATCTGGATGAATCCCAATAGTAAACCATCCTAAAATGTAAGAGTTACCTATAGAATTGTGATGAGCAGGTCCACATGGCACTAAATACTAATTGAGACACTGATTAGCTGCCCACACACTCCAATGCTATTGTACAAGCGCCTCTTTGTCAGGTCATAGTCATGATCAACTGTAAGAGTAAACAATTACACAGAAAATAGGAAGGTATTAGGCTGAATTCATACATAGCTTGGCCTGAGTTATAATGCCGATTGCATGACAGCATCACTCATGAGTAATTCTGAAAGATAGCAGTGTTTTGAAATGCTCCTAACTGGAAGAACTTTGGGCAGTTGTATAGTATGACCCCAGAAAGTTCCCACATCAGGTTTGTGTTTGAACATGAGACCCTCAGCTGGTTGACCTGTGTGGGGAGATTGCACAACCTCTGGGAACTGGGACCTGTCTGGTAGAGCTTGGCACTAAGGTTGGACCTTTGAAGGTTAAAAGTTCCACCCAGCTTCTGATCCTAACCTCTGCTTGCAGATCCAGCCAGTATGCGAGGAATTTTGTTGCAAATTTGTGTCACCAACAGGCAGTTTTGCCATGTCTGCTCTGAAGCTTCCCTGAAACTGTAAGAGGAAACAAATCCTTCCTTCTTTAAGTCAGCCTGCTTGGCATTTGTCACAGCAACACAAAAGTCATAAAACAGCAAACATAGACATCCTTGTTTCCATGTGACTCTTCACTGTGGAAAAACAAGGACAACACGTATCTCAAAATTCTCTGATTGTTTGGAAACTCAAGAAGTATTTGAAAGTCAGCAGCAAGGAAACAAGACGGTTAGGGAACAAGAATCTGTGGGTTCATTCAAGCCAGGCAGTGTAAATTTATTTGTATTATGTCGCTCCCAAGATATTATTTGTCACTGAAGACATTTTAAAGAAACAAAATCAAAAGACCCCCCCAAAAAAAACCCATCACAGAAACTGAGTAGAACAGTATTTGCTCAGGACTGGGGTGGATAAGATAGAGAGATATTGATCAGAGAGTAGAAACACCCAGTTGTAAGATGGCTAAGTCCCAAAGTTCTGATATATATCACAATGAATATGGTTAATAATGGTACATGGTACATTTAAAGTTTTCTAAGAATGGACTAATTGTAAATGTTCTGAAGACCACACACGCCAAAGGCATGCTGTCAACTGAACATGTATCAGTAAGTCAGATTGTGATCAGTTTTCATATATACAATCATTACTCGGGATACCTTATATATACATAATTTATTGTTGCTTATGTTTCCATTGAGCTTCAACAAAAAGAATGGAAGATGTGATTATTGATGTGGCAGACTCTCTGCTCATTGGTAGCTCTAGTTCTTACACAAAAGACTTAGGAATGGAGTGAGTCACCTGACAAGATAAATAGTATATCTGCATGAGACAGAAACCTGAACTCTTCTCAACGAATGCCATCTAGTTACTGCCACTGTCAGATGGTCAATATACCAGCAGCAGAGATCAATACTCTGCCCTGTGTGTGTCACCAGGTACATATATTACCAAGGAGAGTGAGTTGACAATTGGCCCCTTCTACCTTTAAAGGGACAGCAATTCACCTTCAGTGCAATGAAAGTGAATTCTAAATATGGATGTGCTTTTCTCACCTACAGGTCCTCTACCAGTACCATTAGCCAAGGGTGTACTGAGCTTGATCACCAACATGGATCCTCACATAGGACCAATGGACCCTGTCCAGTAAAAGAAATATGCTGTGAATATGCAGACTTGGGATCCACTGGTTATTATCACAGGCCACCCTACTCAGCTGACCTGGGAAGATGATGGAAGAGTCCCATTAAGAAGACATCTGGTAGATGAAGCACAAGGAAAATGGCTATGTTTCATAGCACAGTATGGAGCCTATGTTAACCCTGGAGTATGGATGTCTGTCCTCAATACACAGAGTCCTCAAGTCCAATATGGAATGAGTGAAAATAAACGTGATCTTACCTCTCTCGCTCCCACTGACTTGGGACATTTGTGCTTCCTATACTTGCAGGTCTAGAGGCTTTGAGGCTAAGACTGGCATGTTTTCATCAGCATTATAGTAAATATGAAAGTGTAGTTACTGCATGTTCACATTGGATTCTGCATAACAAACCAACTGCCTCAACCAAAATTATTAACCTTGATCCCAGAAGTCAGAAGACACATTAGACAAGGCTTTTATTTCTTGAAATTCTCTGGCCAAAATTTATGATAGAGGAATTAAATGAACCAGGGGAATAAATGAAAAGGCATGGAGAGTCTGGGATCAGATGTCTTGGGGATAAGAATCTGGGCCATCATCACAAGATAAATCACCCATCCATCAAATAGTCTAACCAAAAGTTTTAAGAATAGATGATACAGAGGTGGAATATGAAAGATTCCTGTTGTGGTCTAAGGAATAGCCACAATAGTAGTGGCTGAAGCTCATCCCACTAATGTTCTTTTGAGTCTCTCTAGCAAAATATGACCATCAGACTCCTGAAGACACATATTCTTGAAAGTGAAGTCAAGCAATGCCAAGGAAAATCTCTACTGAATATTAAGTACTAAGTCCTTCAGTTGCTGGAAATTACTGTCAGAAGAAGATGGCCTCTGTACCCTGGAGAATTCCTCCAGCCCCAAACCAGCCTTCATACAATGATTAGAAGATGCTAGGGTGTAGATCTTCTCCCCTGATATTTTATGGAACCACTCTAAAGTTCTCACAGGATGTGTTGGGGTATTTGTTGTGATTGTGTTATATTTCTTTCACTCTAAGGCATTGATTTCAAGGGTATTCCCCAATAAACTTTGTACACACAAGTCATCATTTCAAAATGCCTTTCTCTTAGATTCCAATCTACATCACAGTATTAAACATTATTATTAGGCATTTGGCATATGTTAATTCCACTCTACCAAACCTTTTCCAAGTAAATTCTGGCATTAATATTAAAATACCCTCAGTATATTCAGGGAAACTGAGGCTTAGAGAAACTTGATGCCTTATTGGTAGACTCTGGATGTGAGCTACTTTGTGATACATGAGTGGCTAATTATTCTGTCAGGTGAAATCATACAAGCAGATATATAGGTGGGTAGGATGGTAGATAGATGATTGATAGAAAGTACATAGAAGATAGATAGATAGGTAGATAGATAGATAGATAGACAGATAGATAGACAGATAGATAGACAGATAGATAGATAGATGATAGAATAAGAAAATGAGAGACAATAGACAGATAATAGATAAGTTACAGATAGAAAAAAGATAGATAAGAGATATACAATAGATAAGAGAAAGAAAGAGACAAAGATTATGGGTAGGGTTAGCACAGAATACTCCATGAAGAACTGTAGGTTGTAGATGTAACCGTCTTGTTAAATAAGAAACACAGAGCCAATGCAGAGATGAAAGCCCAAGAGGTCAGAGCAATAGCTAAAAACCTTACCCTTAACTGCCACTGCTGTCCTCCTCAGCAAGAGACCCACATCCTTTGTGTTTGTCCTTTTTATTGACTTTCTATTCTGCCTTCTCATTGGTTGTAAACCCGACCACATGACCTCCTTGTCACTTCCCATCTATACAGACCTCCAGGTCTTCTATGGTTGGTATTGAGATTAAAGGTGTGTGTCTCTATGCTGGCTGTATCCTTGAACACACAGAGATCTGCCTAGCTCTGCCTCCCAAGTGCTGGGATTAAAGGCGTGCACCACCACTGCCCAGCTTCTGCTATGGCTTGCTATTAGCTCTGACCCCCAGGCAACTTTATTTATTAACATACAAATAAAATCACATTTCAGTACAAATAAAATATCACCATAGTAGGTGAATAAAAACTATATGTTGAGGACATGAGAACAGGGCTGTGGGGGGAATGAAGAAGATGGCAAAATTCAGGTTAGGATTAGCTATGAGGGCCACAGCACACATGAATTTACATACTTACACACATATGTACCTGAACCACTGCCAGAAAGTTCTCCACTATTCCTTAAAACACACACACACACACACACACACACACACACACACACACACACACACACACTACTTCCTGGCAAGGCAAAAATGAATGGAAATCTATTATCCCTGAATTCTATGATGTCTTCATCATACATGAGAAATGGCAAGGATGGAGCAAAGGGCGGGTGGCAATCACATAGAAAGCAACGCAAACCCCTCCCAGGGGTACTGGGGTGAAGGTGCTAGTACAGGAATGCTACCCTCCTGCCCTCCTGTGTTTAGCCAGCCCTGGAGCTCAACCTTTAGAAGGGGGTTGCTTAACGACAGAAGTATTCAGCTGCTTACCTCGCCCCAGTTACAGAAAGGCTGCTGGACTATAATTGGCCTTGACACAAGTCTGCTTAAAGAGATTCCCCAAGAATTATAGAACTACTTTCAGAGTTTGACTTGGCTGAGAATAGGAAATATAACACAGTTTTTTTTTTTTTTGCATTTTCTGTACCAAGCCACAGGTATCAAATACACTTTTTTTAGAGCTATAATCACATTACAAATTGAACATTTCCACATGTGCCATTTGGCAAATCCAAAATGAATGATTGTGAAGATTATAATTACATAGATCAGGTAAATATGGAATTTATATGTTTTAACTCACAAAGTGTATTTTTCTCAGGTCCCTCAACATCCATGTAAAGTGTTTTTATAGGATGTAAAACCATCATTCCACATAAAAACCAAAAGTGTGTGCCTCCAAACACTTAATGCCAGGTCAGGTGATAAGTCAGCATAATATTTGGAAGGTATTAATCCCAGGAAGGGATAGATATTCCTAAGCTAACCCTGAGGAAATGACTAATAATAACAGGTTAAAATCAAGAAGAATATGATTTAGAATAAATATCAAGAGGAGAAAGAATAAACATCCCAGCTATGAAAACTGTTAAGCTCTGAGATAATCCCTCCAGGCAGCAGAGCCTCTTCTTACCCGGGACTCTGGAGGTGAGGTGTGATTGCTTGGAGCCCCCCCTTGTAAGGGGCAATTTTGCTTCAAGCATGGAAGGAGTTGTTTTTTTTTTTTCATTTTGATCTCTATGACTTAATATTAAAGGTTCAAAAATAATCCTATAATTACCCACTAACTATTCCCCAAACTGCCTTTGAGTGTGTTCTTGCCTTTACCTCATCATAGTGAGTATTATGTGCTGTGTTCCTTCACAGCCAAGACAAACTCCACAATGTCACAGACATCTCCCAACCAGGGATTATTTTTCACTCAAACTCAACATGATCCCTGGAGGTCACTTGGTCTCACTTGTCTCTGAGAATGTCTCCTTACCACTCAGAAGTTTCTGCTAAGCAACATAACTCACTACCCTACCACCAGCCTCATTCTGTCCTTCTCTCTCAACAGAGATGGTGTCTCAGTTTATAGATGAAGGAAAACCGGAAGGACAAATGGGTCAGACTCTCTCATATTCACAAACTGATCTGCGACTTCTCACCTTCTCTGCAGAAGTCAAAGTCCTCTTCCTGCCTCTACTGTTGGGAAGAACTATCAAAAAGATGCCCAAGATCTTTTGGGGCAACTCCTAAGCAGTCATCTTTGTCAAGATGCAGCTGAGTATCTCCTTCTCCACTGTTAGAAAGCCATTAAAGTACAAGATGATTGCAAGTTCCATACTTTCTAGAGAAGCATGTGGCCACAGAAGCAGCCGCTGATGCTCTGGATGAAGAGTGAATAGCTTATATGTTTTGAATCAGTGGTGTGAATAACAAAGTTTTCCCATGAAACAGAGTGTCTTGACTAATGACATAGGGCATCTGCTGTTGAGTAAGGGGCCTTCTTGCTACAGATAAAGGAGAACTGGAGAGAGGAAATGCAAGTCTGTTCTGGGTGCATTTGGATGTTAATCTAAATGTTCTCAAATTTGATATTGTGTTTTTAAAGGAGAGGATGTTCCTGGACTGATACATAGTACTGTTCCTCAGTGGTTAGGGTCCAAAAGAGCTAGCAGAATCTTAAAGCTTTCAGTCTCTCTAATGTCTGACAAAGTGTTGTCAGGAAGCCCTTAAACAAAGGTAAGAAGTTCAGGACCAAAGCACTGACGTAACAAGGTTCAGCATCTTGTTACTCTACGTGTCCTGCAGCACAAATGCCATATTGTTCTGAAGAATCAATGCACTAGACAAAATGAGGAGAATATGGCTGAAGAATAAGGCTAAACTTTGCAAAGAGAGAAAGGAAGCCGAAGAAAACTACCAGGAGCAGATCACCAAGAGACAGGCTGTTCTCATTGAGAGCTTCTGCTTCAAAGTCAGACTCTAATGAAAACTAAGTTATTAGGAGTAACAAATAAATGACCAGACCTTGAATCAGAAATAAAATAAAATCTTCCCTACCACAAGCATGCTTTTCTCACCTGTTTTAGAGAGCACTCCTCCAACAATCTCTGGCGAGAACAGAGCTCACTGCCAAAGAGCATGACCCAGGGCCCTGGAAAACTACCTAAGACATCTAGAGTAGATATTGGCAGAAAATCAAGTATGGGTTGTAGCCTGGGTACCACATATATAGTACATGTGTGGAGCTCTGACAGCAAGAAGGTTATGGAGCTGGGAGGAATAAAGGAAGAGCTTGTGTTAGAATGTAGGGAACTAGAAACGTCCTTTCCAAGCTGTAATACACTGGAGCAGAACTTTGAGTGACATGTGATTTTGATTCAAGCTTGGCCTTCTGGCTGTTTGTAATGGTGTTTTATACCTTTATGGGTGGTACTGTACCTTGAAAGTGCCCTACTCAACATTGTTGGAAGATGGGACAATCTGAGACATTACCCATGAAGGTTCTCCCACAATGAATGGGCTCCTGTCAGCTCTCTGGACTTGGGCATTTTTTCCAGAGTGAGTTTTGTGTTGTCTCCTTTCCCTCTCTTTCCCTTCCGACACCCATGAGATGATGTACTAAGAAGGCTCACTAGATACTCATTCCCTCTCTTTGATTTCTTCTACTCT